GTCAAACTCAATCAGAGAAGGGGCCAAAATCTAAAATCCAGCCTAAATCGTGGGCCGAATGGTTCACTGAACAGTCATAAACTGTCATTGTGATGGAAACGCAGCAGAGTGCAGTGATGACAGCACGGTGCAGGCCACATTGCAAGGCCTGGCGGGACGGATTTGGCCCACGGGCCTTGTGTTTGACACATGTGTTCTATAGGATAATTGAGAAATACATTTGATTAAGGACCAAAGTGAAGAATTGGAAGGAGAGGACAAAAGCATTGATAATTGATAGAGATCTGGTAGAAAAAGAGAAGCAATTGAAAATTATTTTGGATATGTTACTGATATTTTTAGTTATCATTCTTGGTTTTAATCTTTGACAGCTACGATGAGCTATGTTTCAATAGCTACACATACAAGAAAATAATATTCCCTGCCACCAGAGCTGCTCTCAGCACAGCTTCGCCCTTTACTCCAAGCCAGGGGCTTTACACACAAATGACCAAGGGGAAAGAATTATCCTTCAATAATTCTTTTTACTAGTTCTCTTTCCCTCAATTTTCAGCTTCAACAGCCTCTTCCTTCCTACCTGTGGCCTCACCAAATATAATACACCAGATACTCCATAACTTATCTTCGATCCATGTCCTTCAAGGAATGTTAAGTTTCGTCTTTGCACTCAATCCCTCTTCATATTGTGTATGTGCGTGTGTGTTTGTGTGTGTGTGTGTGTGTGTGTGTGTGTGTGTGTGTTTGTGTACATGCACATACATACATATACTATATAAATTCATACCACTATCAATGTTTTGGAAGATCAGCACTTTTCTGGCTAGACAAAATCAGGGGATAATATTACTAATACAGAAGCAAGTCATACAGCTGACAGTACTTGACTGATTAATAAGCCTTTTTTTCATGAAATGTTTGTCATGTAAGAAATCAGAATGTGAAAGCACTATCCACAAAAGCAAAAACAAAATCTAAATATTCTTCTTAAAGAATATTGCCTTGGTCTGTGTTGCTCAGTGGTTGGACAGTTGGCCAGAACACCAAAGGGTCACAGGTTCAGTTCCCATTCAAGAGCACCTACCTGGGTTGCAGGTTTGATTCTCAGCCCCTGCCAGGGCATCTGTGGGAAGGAACCAATTTATGTGTCTCTCTCACATTGATGTCTCTCTCCCTCTCTTTCCTCCTCCCTTCCGCTCTCCTATAAGTCAATAGAAAGCTATCCTCAGGTGAGGATTAACAACAAAAAACAACAACAAAAGAATATGTCCCAACTCATTGTTTCACTTGAAATAAATGAGGTTTAAGACTGCTTTGGCAGAAAGCTATTAAATAATCAAGTATTTCCTAGGAATTTAAAATTCCCTAAATATGGTTAACTGACCTTAAATATTCAGAGATTTATTTTTGAAAAAGGCAAAAGCCTTTAAGGAAATAAATCAAAAGGACATTGCTTGTTCTGAAAATATGAGCGAAAACTGAAGAATGAAAATCTCAGAAGGAAGGTAAGAAATGCAAATAGCACACAGGAAAAACTAATCAAAACTTAATTTTGTATAAGTTGTGTTTTTCACCGAGTTTTAACTTTGGCTAGTGAGGTAATTATATTTTTATGAACGAGGGAGCCAGCAAGTAAGCAACCGAGAGTGTAAAAGAAAAGCTTAGAAAATTAAAATGAGAGAAAATTACTCTTGTCAAATCATGAAGGAAAGTGATTGCATAAAACATAAGCTTATTATATTAACTCTCTGGGTCAACATGAGAGTAAGGCATGGAATCAGAAAAGTTTTGAAAGGATTATGGTTTTTGCCTAATGTCTTTGAAAAAAACATACACTTGATTTTAGTGAAACAAAAATCTACAGCTGAAACCAAGATATTTGGGATCTTTAATTTGAACTAGCATAATTGCACCAAATATCTTCTCCCTAAACATAATTGTTGTGCAGGAAAAGGTATTAGAACTTCTGTAGCAACCTCTGTATTGGGAATATTTAAAATGAAATAACATTATTGAATGCATGAGTATTTCAAAACAAATATATTAATATGCATTCTGTTATCAACTCATTAACAATTAATTTTATATTGGTCCCATATATATTCTCTTGGTGAGCAAAGTGAACTGAAACAGATTCTTGGGGACATGGGATTAAAGTCAATATCTGCTGGAATCATTCAGCACAAATCTGGGTGTACATTAGGCCCTGTGGGGAGTGGGCCTGAACTATCAGAAGGACATCCCCTGAGGACTCCAAGACTGTGAGAGGGCACAGGCCTGGCTGAGGGACCTCCCACTCCGCCAAGTACATGAATTTTCATGTACTGGGCCTCTACCACAGTATAAAAACTGATCACAAAAATTTCAAATCAAATTTTAGTCCTATATGCATTATGTGTTCATATTTAGTTTTATATTTCTCATTAAAGAAAACCTGGAAGGAATGCCTTTGTTTATACATATGTATATTTACTTCCTTCATGGAATTTTGAGGTCGCCACCTATGTTTGTTTATTGATTTAACTTAGAAAACTGAGTTTTTAAACATTAGGCAAAGTAAATTATCAGAATAAATTATACAAGAATCTTGGGGCATAATGATAAGAAGACAACAAAATTCAGATTTATTCTAGCCGAAACCAGTTTGGCTCAATGGATAGAGCATCAGCCTTTGGACTGGAAAGTCCCAGGTTCGATTCTGGTCAAGGCCATGTACCTTTTTTGGGAGCACATCCCCAGCAGGGGGTGAGCAGGAGGCAGCGGTTGATGTTTCTCTCCCATCTATGTTTCTAACACTCTATAGCTCTCTCTTCCTACCTGTTAAAAATCAATAAAATATATTTTAAAAGTAAAAGGTTTATTCTTTTTAAATAGATTCTTATAGTGAGATCGGCAATGAAATCTCCCAAGGGAATTTCAAAACTATACAATTATAACAAAACAATGGTGTAAAGAAATATATATTACATTTTCATTTCATTGAAAAAATAATCATTTAGTTATTTTCTATGTCTAGTATATGATTCTATCATTACAATCAATTTATCAAATAGACACATTATTATTCAAGTTCTTTTTAAAGATTAAACAATTAAATGTGTCTAAAGTGATTAGATAAGTTTACAAAGTGACATTTAATATTTGATCCTTGATTTTCTTCACAAACACTGATCATAAAATGCTATAAGCTTCTACCCCAGCCAGTGTGGTTCAGGAAGTTGGAATGTTGTTCTGTTCACTGAAAGGTCCTGGGTTCAATTCCTGGTCAGGGCACATAACTAGGTTGCAGGTTTGCCCTCAGGCTGGGGAGCATATGACAGATAACCAATTTACGTTTTTCTCTCTCACATCAGTCTCTCTCTCTCTCTCTCTCCTCTCTCTCTCTCTCTCTCTCTCTCTCTCTCTCTCGTCCATTCTCTAAAGTCACTAAAACCATATTTTAGGTGAAAATTTAAAAAGAAAACATAAATAAAATTTAGAAATAACATTAACTTCCAAAGAGAAACAGACACCTCAAAAAAGGTATTACTCAAAACCCTGGAAATAAAACTTTAATTGAAAATAGGCCCTTTATTCATAACTTTAAAACCATCTGAGAATATAATATTCTGTTACTCTGTCTTGTACCTTGAGAGCAGAGACCACGTTTGATTCTTCTGTGTATTTCCAGAATCATACTGCCAAACATATCTTTGCAGTAAATAAATGCTTATTGAATTAAGGAATAAATAAGTTATAAATACCTAGGTTTGTCTTATGTCTTTCACTCTAATATCTTTGAATACTAATATATTTATTATTTTAAATTTCCATGTACATAAGTAATATCTTGAGTGCATTTACTGGGACAGTAAGGGGATAAAAATGCAGGTTTTATGTTTCTTTTTGCTTTGATCTGTTTCTCCATTAGAAAACAAATCCCAAAGGCTTTGGCTCTCCTTGTTACTAATATACGCCCACATTCTAGACCATTTTAGATAATCAATAAATATTTGTTGAGTGAGTGAGTGAGTGAATGGACGGCAAATTGAGATCAGTGGTAAATTCCCAACCAATGTGGCTTATTCCTTAGAACACCATTAAAAGCTTAAAGTACAAATGAGGTTGGAGGGGATGAATACATCCACATTATTAAGAGCTTTCTCTAAGAATGCACCTAGGTTTTTTATTTCTTGCCTGAGGAAACTGAAATCTGTACCGGAAAGAGATTTGCAAACCCGGTGAAATGGTGGACAACCAGGATGTCCGGATGGAGACCAGTGAAATCACAGATGCTGGGGCACAGGCAGGGCGGAAGGAATGTGTCTCCAGGGCCCTGCTGAAGGATGAAGAGATGAGACGGAATAAAGGGGGTGATGAGCCAGTTCAGAAAGAACGGGAGATGGAAGATGGTGAGGCGGAAGGAGTCAGTGAGATGTGGGAGGCCGGGCAATGCGGCAGGGACCTGATGGTGGATGGGAGGAAAATGGAGCGATGAGGTCTGGGCACCGGAGATGGGCTTTCAGAACTGTTGGTGCTGATGCTGGAACATCCAAAGATTTGTGATGTCAAATGTTGCCAATGGTGCCACAGAAGGACATGACCAACCAAACAGTCACACTGAGACAACAGTCCACTGAGTTGCTCAAAGAAATGAAGGCAGTTGATTGATTGGAAGCAGTGGAACTTCTCTTTAGGAGTAAATAATGTTTTAATAGATCACACAAACCAGGTGCCCAGCGTGGAGACGCCCTCCTCACCTGGAAGGAGACTCAAATCGGAAAACTGAAGCCAAGTACTCGGTATCCTCGGCCCCCCTCACGCCCCCTCACGCCCCTTCACGCCCCCCCCACGCCCCCTCACGCCCCTCACACCCCTTTAAGTCCCCCCTGCCCCGCCCCCAACTCTCTTGAGTAACTCACTTCCAGCCCCTCTAAGAGCCACCATGATCGCCACCTGATAACAGCTTGCTGCCATCACTGAGCACCTCTCTGGCCTGGTCCCTTGCCCCCAGGCCTCCAGCAATGGCGATGCCCCCGCCCTCCTACATGCGCCAGAACTACCACCCGGACTGCGAGGCCGCCATCAACCACCAAATCAACCTGGAGCTGTACGCGGCCTACGTGTACTCGGCCATGGCCTTCTGCTTCCAGCGCCACGAGGTGGCCCTGAGTGGCTGCAGCCAGTACTTCCAGAAGCGGTCCCTGCAGAAGACGGAGCAGGCCCAGAGGTTCATGTGGCTGCAGAACCAGCGCGGGGGCCGCGTGCTCCTGGAGAGCGTCCACTGCCCGCAGCAGGAGGCATGGCAGAGCAGCCTGAATGCCATGGAGTTCGCCATGGTCCTGGCGAAGACAGTGAATGACAGCCTGCTCCACCTGCACAGCCTGGCCTCCGACAAGAAGGACGCCCACCTGTGCGAGTTCCTGGAGAGCCACTGCCTGCACCAGCAGGTGCAGTTCATCAAGGAGCTGGGGGACAATCTCACCCAGCTGCGCAAGATGGGGGCCCCGGAATCCGGCCTGGCCGAGTACCTCTTCGACACACTCACCCTGGATGCCAGCAAGAAGAACGAGCCCGGACTGCCTGACTGATGGCCATGGGGTGACTTGCCCTGGCCACTGCGCCCAGCACGCTTATTGCCATGTTGCCTTTGCAAAGCGGTCACTCAAGTTTAAATGTTCAAGTTTTACCATTGCTTCAAATAAAGTTATTGGTTCTTAAGTAAATAAAGGTCTTCTTTGATTTGTGTGTGCAAAACCCTCACCTTTTAGGTTTTAAAGCAGGTATCCTGGAGTCTCCATCCAAGCCTCAACTAGGTGCAGCTCTCAGGACCTTGGATGGAGGAGCAGGTATTCCTTCAGACCAGGATGCAGGTAGGGAAGAGGGATTCCCTGGTTCCTGCATGGATGGAGGAGGAGGGATTCCATGGAACCCTGGATGGAGGGAGGAGGGCTTCAATAGGACCCTGATGGAGGAGGAGGGCTTCAATAGGACCCTGATGGAGGAGAGCTTCAATAGGACCCTGATGGAGGAGGAGGGCTTCAATAGGACCCTGATGGAGGAGGAGGGCTTCAATAGGACCCTGATGGAGGAGGAGGGCTTCAATAGGACCCTGATGGAGGAGGAGGGCTTCAATAGGACCCTGATGGAGGAGGAGGGCTTCAATAGGACCCTGATTGAGGAGGAGGGCTTCAATAGGACCCTGATGGAGGAGGAGGGCTTCCATGGGAGCCAGAATGGAGGAAGGGAAGAGGTATTCCTTGGGGCCCAGCATGGAGGGAGGAGGGGTCCCTTGGCACCTGGGAAAACACAAAATTAACCTACCCCTTATAAACAATGCATATGGGGGTGCAGTCAGGTGGCTGGTCTTGGGGCCTGTGAATGTGGATGATTGTTCTTGCTAAAAGTATAAAACATCTGTAAAATCACAGGTGTGCTTGCCTCTGGAGAAAGGGTGAACAGAATAGGATTGGGCAGGGATTAAAATAAAGGATTCTTGTATTTAACCTGCATTTTTCAGTTTACTAAAATGTACACATAGTAATATTTGTTAACATCTGGGTAGTAAGATGGAGATCCCTTGCTCTAAGAACAGAGTAGTTGAAATTGCAGCATTGCAGAGGGCCCTTGGTCAACTGTGAGAGTGTATAGCTACTCTGTGAAGAGCAGATCTGTTGCTGAGTAACAATAATGATATGTTATTAATTACTTAATAATATGTCATTATTAATAATGTTATTATTCAACAATAACCTTGCTCAGCTCTACCCTCCCCCACACCTACTTACATAGGACAGTCAACATCTTTGGCTTCTGAGCCTTTTAATCGCCCCTAACTATACCCCAAGGCAGTGAATGAATAAAAGACAATTACAGACCTGCAGAGAAGGGAAACAATAGGACACATTTTCTTAGGAGGAAAAAACACTGGTGTTCCAAAGTCAGAAATATTGTGTTTCTTTTGGCAACAGGGAGTGTTGCTATCCTACCTGTAAGTGCCATGCCATGTATTCCCACTTGAGAAAGCAACTGAGTGACACATTCCCCTCTCCCATTTTGAGCAAAACCTCAGTAGTGACTGGACTTCACAATTGTAGATCAGATCCATGCAAATTACCTAGGTTAGCCAAGTACTTCCTTTATTCCTAAATGTAAATGGATAAAGTTTGCCAGATATATGAGGAAGGTAAAATAGAAGATCACAATAAACACGCGGAACTATTTCACTTTGGGGGAAAACTCATAAAATATGGAAATAAAAGAGAATTTTACCAAAAATTCAAATTCATATTCCCAGAATTTTAAGGGGAGAAAATGGCTTTGTAAAATGAAAAATAAAAAATGTCTACTATGGAAGGAAACAATCAGTACTTGCAAGATAGAAATATTGTTGCAAAATTGAAAACATGAAATGCCTGTTACTCAGGGAAGAGTCTCCCTGCCTCACACAGGCTGCGATGGGACCTGGAACACCTAGATGGTGCGCGGCCCCCTGGGGTCCCCCTGAAGCCCCCCCAAGGCCCTCTCCACAGGGATCTGCTAGCCAGCCCCTCCCCCTCCCGACCCTCAGGAATAAAGGTCACCTCTTCCACTTCCTGTCCCACCTCAGAGCCAACTGCCAGTGACCTGCGCCCAACCCCTGTCTCCCGCCAGCCTGGGAGGGTCCCCCAGGGACATTTCGAGGTCCCCATCGCCACCGCCACCGCTGGTGACAGGGCTTTCGGCCGCCCTCATCCACCACCATGGGAATGACTGGTCCCAGGAGAAGCCAGCGCCTTCGCCTGCGCTGCTGCCCACCCCGCAGCCCGCCCCTCAGCCCGCGCCATGAGGCCCTGCTGATGTACTTGGCCCGAGGGCCACCCCCGGAACACCTGCTGCCCATGCTTCCTGGCCTGGCCCCCGCGCCTCCCCCCATGGCCCCAGCGCATGCCCCTGTGGCCCCTGTGCCTCCAGGGGCGGTGGCGGGGCCCGTCTCCCAAGTGCGCCAGAACTACCATGCCCACTGCGAGGCCGCCATCAACAAGCAGGTCAACCTGGAGCTGCACGCCTCCTACATGTACAAGTCCATCGCCTTCTACTTCGACCGCCACGACCAGGCCCTGCAGCACCTGGCCACCTTCTTCCTGTGGCAGGCCAGGGAGGAGGGCGAGCAGGCCCCAGCGCTGATGGGGCTGCAGAACCGGTGCGGGGGATGGATCTGTCTGTGAGATGTCTGGAGGCCTGACCACAACCAGTGGGAGAGCAGCCTGAAGGCCATGAAGACTGCCCTGCAAGTGGAGAGGATGGTGAACCAGAGCTTGCTCTGCCTGCACCAGCTGGCCACCAGCAAGAACAAGCCCACCTGTGCAGCTTCCTGGAGCACCACCACCTGCGCCAGGAGGTGAAGTTCATCTACAGTGTGGGGGCCAATATCACCCAGCTGCACAAGCTGGAGGCCCCCACATCGGACCTCGCCAAGTACCTCTTCGATGCACTCACCCTGGGTGCCAGCAAGAAGTGAAATGTGGCTTTTTGCTAAAAGCAAGCAGAAAGAGCCTTCCATATGATGATGGATCATTGGTAAATATTTGTTGAATGAGAAATACCTATTGCTCCAAGCAACTTAAGCCTGTGTTTCTCTCTTCCAAGACTTTTTGTTTCTGTTCCTATGGCTTTGAAACTTCAAATTAAATTGCTCTAGTGAAGAAGAAGAAGAGGACGACGACAAAGAGGAAGAAGAAGGAGAAGAAGAAGAAGTAGTGAGCCTGGATTGCATGACTGATGGCCATGGGGCACTTCCCCTGGCCACCTTGCCCAGCATGCTTATTGCCATGTTGCCCTTGCAAAGCAGTCACTCAAGTTTATATGTTCAAGTTTTCAATTTCTTCTTTTAAAGTTATTGGTTCTTAAGTAAATAAAGGTCTTTCATTCGTGTGTGCAAAACCTCACCTTTTAAGTTTTAAAGCAGGTATCCAGGAGTCTCCAACCATGCCTCAACTAGGTGCAACACTGGACCATGGATGGAGGGAGAGAAGAGGGATCCCCTGGGATCCTGCATGAATGGAGGATAAATTCTTTTGAACCCTGGATGGAGGGAGGAGGAGGGATTCCATGGAACCCTGGGTGGAGGGAGGAAGGAGGGATTCCATGGAACCCTGTTTTGAGGCAGAAAGGAGGTATTCAGTGGGACCCTGGATGAAGGGCTGTGGTATTCCATGGATCCCTGGATGGTGGGAGGAAATATTATTTGGGACCCTGAATGGAGGAGAGAGAAGGTATTCATTGTGACCCCATAGGAAGGGAGGAGGTATTCCTTGGGACATGGCAACAGTGAGTATATAAATGAGCCTTAGACTGGTTTTCCCACGGACAGGAGTGTGACTTCTAAGTCACCAGTTACTGGCATACACATTGCAGTTACAAAGCATTTGCTTATGTATATTTTCTTTCATTTATATTATATGTGTATAGATATTTTGTAGCAGAGTTCAATTTTAATTTCCTGAGGAGATTTTGAACGTCTGCTTATGAAGATACCCTTTCTTTTAGAAAATTTTTTTCTTATTGATTATTGTATTACATATATGTCCTTATTCCCCCATTACCACCCCATCTCCCCCTCATGCCCTCACCCTCCTGGTGTCTGTGTCTATTGATCAGGCTTATATGCATGCATACAAGTCCTTTGGTTGTTCTCTCCTCCTTCCCCCCATTCTCCCCTACCTATCCTCTGAGGTTTACTAGTCTGATCAATGCTTCTCTGTCTCAGGACCTATTTTTGTTCATCAGTTTATATTGTTTTTTATATTCCATAAATGAATGAGATCATGTGGTATTTATCTTCTCGGACTGGCTTATTTCACTTATCATAATGCTCTCCAGTTCCATCCATGCTGTTGCAAATGGTAAGAATTCCTTCTTTTTTATGGCAACATAGTATTCCATTGTATAGATATACCACTGTTTTTTTAATCCACTCATCTGGTGATGGGCACCTTGGCTGTTTCAAAATCTTAGCTATTGTAAATTGTGCTGCTATGAACATAGGTGTGCATATATAATTTCTGATGGGTGTTTCTAGTTTCTTGGGATATATTCCTAGAAGTGGGATCAACGGGTCAAATGGGAGTTCCATTTTTAACAGTTTGAGGAAATTTCTTACTGTTTTCCACAGTGGCTGCACAAGTCTGAATTCCTACCAGCAGTGCAGGAGGGTTCCTTATTCTGCACGTCCTCACTAGCACTTGTCATTTGGTTATTTGTTGATGATTGCCATTCTGACAGGTGTGAGTTGGTACCTCATTATCATTTTGATTTGCATCTCTTGGATGTTTAGTGACTTTGAGCATGTTTTCATATGCCTCTTGGCCTACCTTTTGTCTTCTTTTGAAAGTATCTATTTAGGTTCATTGCTCATTTTTTGACTGGGTTCCTTATCTTCATTTTATTGAGTTGTATGAGTTCCCTGTAGATGTTGGAGATTAAGCCCTTATTGGTGATAACATTGTGAAATATGTTCTCCCATGCTGTGAGCTCACTTGTTTTGTTGATGGTTTATTTTGCTGTGAAAAAGCATTTGATTTTTTTTTATTAAGATATTATATGTGTACAT